TGATTTTCTTTTCAAAGAGTGTTAATATCAAAGTAAAGAAGGATGGAAGATAGTTCCTCCAACATAAAGGCATTGTTGAATGGAAAATCTTTTAAAGATTGAAGAAACTCTTCTGTTGACAAGTGACAAACTTGAGAATAACAAAATTGTTAATGCACTAAAATACATTGTATTAGTTACTTTAAACAGAGGCAACAGTATATGAAATACATTCCAAAATTTCCCCTTTGGAAAATATGTATCCTGTCTGTCTGCTGAAGCTAGAAGCAGCAGCAGACAAAAATAGGCCCAGGTTGCTTTATTTGGCACCACAACAGAAAAGAGTCAACTAGCTGTTGACATCATCAGAGTAAGGGCTGAGAATAAAGGAGAACCTACACGTGTGCTTGTATGACTGTTTTTAACGGTCAAGGTATAGAACGTTAAAAACGGTCACACAAGCACACATGTAGGTTCTCCTTTATTCTCAGCCCTTACTCTGATGATGTCAACAGTGGCAAATCTCTCTCTTCTACGTAACATTTAAATGCAGGGATCACACTTGTAGGATATTTAAACTTTCAAATGTAGAAAATGTCCCTTTTAAAGGACTTCTTACCATCTTCATGGAGCAAGAGGCAACGTGGATTTTTGGTGCACTAGAAAACAAAAGCCATTTCCTCAACTGCTTTAATCTCGTTCTTTTAAAGCAAACTTTCATTTTGGATTAAAAATGGATCAAGCTTTGCAATCACACAATTCTACTTTGTTTGATTGTATTATATATTTTTATGCTTTCAAATAATATTTTTAAAAGGGATTCATGATCTGCTTGATCCCCCTGCCAAGGTCAATCTGAATTTGATTCCTGGGAACTATAAAGACACATCCATGTAGGATTTTGGCAACAACATAAAGTGATTTGCCATTGCCTTTTTCCAGGGTATTCTTTTCCATTAGACTTTTCGGCCTAATCTCCAGGCCTGGGTTTGCCTGCTAGTCTTCAACCCAAGCTTTATTCAGCACTGACTCTGCTGAGCTTTGAGATCAACTCAGTGCTACAATAGAAATAGTTTCAATCAAAATTCTTGGATTGTAATCCAGGTCCTCGACTGTGAAATCACATATAAAGGTGGCATTTATCTACTGCTCCTTCAGTGAAATTTCTCAAGCGCTCCAGTTACAACATTGGCAAGCATGTTACAAACTACTAAAAACGCTACCCAAGAGTGGATTCACACTCAGTACCAGAGTTCATCCTTTAAATATCTCTTATACAAGGTTGTACAGTGGTCCTCGACTTACAATTGAGCCCAAAATTTCTGTTAAGTGAGACACTTGTTAAGTAAGTTTTGTCCCATTTTATGACCTTTCTTGCCATTGTTATTAAGTGAATCACTGCAATCGTTAAGTTAGTAACGGTTGTTAAGTGATTCAGGCTTCTCCATTGACTTTGCTTGTCAGAAGGTTGCTAAAGGTGATTGCATGATCCCATGATTGCATAACCATCATAAACATGAGTCAATTGCCAAGTGTCTGAATTTTGATCACATGACCATGGGGATACAACAACAGTCGTGGGGAAATTAAGTCATAAATCACTTTTTTCAGTGCCACCGTAACTTTGAACGGTCACTAAATGAACCATTATAAGTTGAAGACTACCTGTAATTGTAAATATTATATGTCCAAATAATTCAGCTATACTTACTTTGGATCAGTATACATAAAATTGCACCTTTTATATCTAGTTTAAAGACATCCATATTGCTAAAGCTGTGCTTTTGAAATATTGAACTGCTTTAGAATAATTGCAGATTATTTGAAAATGTTGCAGTGGAAAGGCTACAGTGAGACCATACCTGTTTTGTAGATTAGAGAACACTGCAGTGAGATCCTGTCAATGTCACTTGATTAGATATTTGAGAATGTAGTAATGAGATAGTACAACAGTTATGGGGTCAAACCTCAATCAGCAAACCCAGATTTAAATCCACACTTGACCACCAAATTCATTATGTGATATTTGGCTAGTCACTTGCTCTGAGCCCAAGATTGTTTTAGGTGGAATAAAATGGGGGGAGGTCCCCAAATAAGCATGAGAGAAAATATGGGATCTACATGAAGTATATAAAATAGTAAATCTAAGGCCTGTTCACATATTGGACAAATCTATAGTTTATTGATTTTGGTTTTGGCTTACTGTCTTGCGTCAACCCAACCATTATATACTTTGATTTATAGTTTACTGCAGTATGCAAAGCCAGTATGAGAGATTAAGCTTCCCTTGTATGTAAAAGGAAGATTAAAAAAACAATATGGAAAGGTTATTACAATGGAAAAGAATTCTAATTCTTTTCCATTGTAATCTTTCCATATTAAGAATCCTGGATTTTTTGTTTTTTTAACTCTTGTGCGTAGTAAATGGCATGCTGTTTATAAATGTTGGTAAAGGCGTTAGGAAAAAAGAGATCATTGGATTGCAGTGTTGATATGTGCATGTGTAGTAGATGTGTCATGAACTTTTCACCCATTTTTCGTGAAGCGGAAGCCATGGATGTTTTAATGCTCAATGACTGGGAGTAAAGTATCTCCTGTGCTGTGACACATACTACCGAGAGCCACCAGATTCCTTTCTATGATAAGGGGATGCATCCTTTTCATATGTCACCACTGTGAAAAATGCAGATAGTCCTTGCCTTACAACTGTTTGTTTAATGATGATTCAAAGTTGTAAATTGATTTACAGTCTGTAGTTTCATTTATGATTATTGCACCACCCCATAGTTGTATGATCTCAACTGCGACACTTGGCAATCAGCTTGCATTTACAACCAGTTGCAGCGTCCTGCAGTGACAAAGCACCCATTGGGGAAGCTGGATTCATTTAACAACTGTATGATTTGCTTAATGGCCACCATAAAACTTGTGAAATCAGGTCCAACTTACTTATGACCATAACTTGTGACTGTAATTCCTGTCCCAATTGTAGTCGGAAGTTGAGGACGACCTGTACATAGTTAAAAAATCTCATGCAACACCTTTTGCTGCTATAGCAGGAAGGCCAGCTGCATCACTCTTAAGTTGCCCAATGTGTGTGTGCCCTTAGTATAGCATTCTTCAGAGCAAATATGTGATAGAAGCTGTTTTTTCCCCATGAAAGCCTTATTTTTACAACTTCCTCCTTCCGTTGAGCAAGCTAGTGTTTCAGATTTATAAGTTTTTAAAAAGGCATATGCTAAACTTAAATATGTAGAGCCAACACTTCCTGACTTCATTATTGCTTGGTGTTTAACTTGTGTTATGATACCATAGCAAAGAAAGCAGTAGATATTTGTTTCAAGGAACTTGCAGAAGTAAAATGCATAGGAGGGATGGTCTGCCCCTTTATAGTATGAAGCACTGTTGACATTGTAGTTGCTCCCCAAGATACTGGTAATCCTTTGTTTTATGACAATTGGGACTGGAACATCTGTCATTGAGGTAGTTATTAAGTGAGTTATGACCAATCTTTTGTTGTGATTTTTAAGTGAATCTGAGTTCCCCCATATACTTTGCTTGTGGAAAGCTGACTGGAAAGATCATCAATGGTGATCACATGATCCATGATGCTGTAACTGTTTTAAGTACATGCTGGTTATCAAGCTCCCAAATTCTTATCATGTGACCCACAAGTGCTGTGGAATCAGTTTTAAGTGTGAAGATTGTAAGTAACTTTTTCCACCAGTTGTAACTTGCAACAATTGCTGAACTAATGGTTGTAAACTTGAGGACTATATGTAATTTCTCATGTGGGTGTAACAATATTAGGCATTAAGTACTTACTATCAAGGCTATCAAATGGTGCAAGATTGTATGAGAAATTCAGGACCAATGCAATTAAAAGATCATTTTCTCATAGAATCCTGCACCAGTTGGCAGCTTTGATAGAAGGTATTTATCAAACCAGATGTGCAGCAGACAAAAGAAAGGATTTCACAGAATACATAGTAAATGGATATAGGATATAGAGCAGATCACTGAGTCAGTGAGGTGACAGGATTAACAAAAGCCAAAGAGATGGAGCCTCCACATTCAGAGGCAGTGTACCTCTCTGTATACCAAATGCTTGGGAAAACCTTTTTTTAAAAAACAAAACAGTAGGCTGACTTTTTTGGGAAACGGTTTGCTTCTTGAACTTGAATCATTCACTAAATAATCACCATCTTTTCACCTTTTGGGTCGAGTGGACCCAGCAGCTCAAGGGATTAGTATAAAGCGTGCGGAGACTGCCACGGGAAGCTGGATTAATCGAGTAAACCGGGGTTCAGCTTCTCCTGCAAACGCAAAACGCTTTAAGCTGAGCTGCTTTTTCCATCTGACGCAGCGCTTGAGACTTCTTCTCCATTGGATGCCTCGATCCCTTCGTCCACTCAGCTCTTACTATTATTACACCTTGTCAGACTTTTGATAAGATGTCGGGGCCGACGAGCCATTGTTATCTTCTCCATCTCCTTCCTTTTATTTTTTGGGGAAGAGAAGAAAAAGCAGGTTAAGCCCCCAAGGCGATCCACAGAAAGGACCGCAACTCCCATAGCGGGAATGGAAAGCGGGGGGGGGGGGATAAAGAGCGCGCATGCGCGCGCACCCTTTTCTCATAACTGACCCAGATGGCCGTTGGGAATCATTTATTTTGAAGAGGTCGCGAGCCATACGCGCGCGCGCTCTCTCGCTACCTATCTACCGCCCCCCCCCCGCCACTGCCGCCTTTCTCATCCTGCGCGCTTGCGCTTTTTCCGCTTCGCCGCTGCCGTTTCGTCTCCCACGAAGCCTTCCGCACGTCCCGCGCTGCCTCATCCTCCTCACCGCCACAGTCTTCTCTCTCTCCCCCCTCTGCTTCTCGCTCCGTTTGGTTCCCTCCCTCTCCACTGCCGAGAGCCAATGGCTGAGCTCCTGAGGAACTCCGCCTTCTCCTCTCCGCCAATAGAAACTTACTACTATGTTATGGGGCGGGGGAGAAGGAGAGCTGGGTGAAGGAGAGGGAGAGCGCGGTTGAACGAGAGCCAGCTAAGCGGCGAGACGGTGGGGGGGGGGGCGGCCTTCAACCACTGCCGGCGCCCTCGCGAAAGGCTATCGGCCTCCAGCATCCTCACCTGGGGAGAGGAGGCAGGCAAGTGAGGCGGCGACGCAAGCGACTTCCGCCCTGCGCCCCTTTTCTTCTGGTTCTCCGCTTTACCTCAGCGAGGTGCGTCGTGCTGGCCGAGAGAGAGAGGGGGGGGTGGTATCCGTCTGGACGTCCGTCCATCCCTTTGCCTGGCGGGCGGGTTGGCTGACTGGACGGCCGAGGGACTGGAGAAGGCGAGGCGCGAGAGAAACGACCTGGTCTTCCTCTCTTCCCCCGGCAGGGCGGGGCCGCTGCTGGACGACCCCGGGAGGCGCTCAGGTGCCGTTGGCCTTTTGCCCGGGCGGCGAGAGCGGTGTCCCTCGCTCTAAGGTGCGAAAGGAGCGTCCGGCTTGGTTGCGCCGCGGGGTGAGGGGTGGCAGCGAAGGTGTGGGACGGAGGAGAAGGGGGTGCTTGGCGAGCCGGGGCTGTCTTGGGGGAGAAGAAGCGTGTTGAGCAGCAGCCGCCTCCCGGTCAGAAGATGGGAGGGGATTATGGGACGACGGAAAACGGTGTGACTCAGTGAGGTGAGCGCCTTGGATTGAGGAGCGCGCGCGCGAGCGAATGTCGTTGGGGGAGGAGGGGGGAGAAAGAGAGACGAGGTTGAAAGATTAAAAGGCGAGCTGGCGGGCGAGCTTCCGCGTTAGCCTCCTGCTCTTCCCCTTCCATTTCTATCCCTGGTCGGTTGGTTTGCGGGGAGACGTGTGGTCTGGATTGAGAGCCAGCCCTCTTTTATACTGTCTCTCAGATCTTCATCTTCCTGGGCTTTCTTTTTCTTTTTTTTCTTTTTTTTCTTTTTTTAATGGCACCAGAGATACAGCGCGACAGTTTTGAATTTGAAGGGGGAGGGGCCGTCTGCAGTTGTGTAAGCGTTTTGGGGAGGGGGGGAAGAGAGACAAAGCTGATCAGGTACAGGAAATCTCTTGCATACTGACATGAAGTGAACGCCGTTCCTTGGAGCTCTTGTTATTTCTGACAGTAACGTCACGGATTTCAAAATAAAAATAATAAAGGCCTACTGATACCCCTGATTAAATATTTCCGTTTAATGTTAATAACTGAAACTACATTGCTTTAATTGTCATGCATCTTAGTCCTAAATGCAGTATGAAAACATTTTGTTTGTCTCTATTTCGGTTCTATATGTTAAAGGGGGGGGGGTTTGCAGATATGTCTTATTGTAATTTAGCTTGATTTCTTTTAAGTTTAAGTTTTTCTAAAGGTCTAAGGAGCCTATACCAGATGTAAGATTTTGGAAAAAAAACTTTAAAGTTGTTCAATGAGATAACAATATGAATTCTTTTTCATTTATGGTAAATTTATGTTAAATAGGATGGGTGATTCTTTAAGCAAGATTGTGATAGTTGTACAGACTTTAACATTAAGATGGTATATGGAACTGCAACCAAGTTATATTACGTGATTGGTTTTCTTGCATTTACAAGTATTGTTTTCATTGCAAAACCATATGTTGGTTACTGTAATAGAAATTAATCAGTTAAAAAGTACCCAGATCACTTAAAAAAAATCTAGTAAGTTTTCACTTAGCTATGGTTGCCTTAAATTCAGTTTGATGAAGTGCTGCATGCAATTAGCCAAACCTGGTTGAACTTAGCTGCTCTCAGAAAGTTAAGCAGTTAGTACTTAAATGGAGAAATTTTATACTGGGCAGTATAAAAATCTCAGATAAAGTCAGTGACAAACCATTGGTAGTTACCAAAGTACATGAAATGTTTTGTGGAGTCACTAAGATTTAAGTTTGTATACTTATTTATTACAAATGATTTTGGGCCCAGGATTGGTTATGTTAATATAATAGTGAATAGTTAAAGTACTACAGTTGCTTTGTGTTGTTTGTAGAACTATTAACCCCACTAGATATACTGTTATTTAGCTGTTATTATATAATAAATATAAAAGATAAAAGAACTGAAGAAGCTTCTTGGATTAGAAGCAAAATGTTTTCATGGAAAAAACAGTCCAGTTCCCATTTGAAAAGCATTTTTGGGACAACCATGATCTGGATGACTGAGAATCTCCATAAATGTTCCAGTCAAATGTTAAGAGCATAATATGATTTTTGGCTTTCACTTCACTATATGCCTTGAACACATTTCACTATGTTGGATTTAAAGGTTATTTTTAAATAATTTAACCTTAATTTGGTGAAGTCTTTCAATTCTGAATTCAGGATTCCCCTCCCCCAAACAGTCAGTGGGTAAAAGAAATTACCCAGTTTGTCTTAAGTTCACTGGCAGTGTTATCAGTTGTGCCAGCTGTCAGAGTTTTGTTTAATGTTGTAATTCTGGGTTAATAAGAGAATTCCAACAATAATCTTTCAACACTACAACTGTATACTAGTAGAGTATTCAATATTGATTGGGCCTAACCTTTTATTAACAACGTTATGAGGCTTTGAATGTCATAAATATCAAATTAGGAGAACTGGAATAAGTTTAAGCAGATGAGAGATAAGTAAAGATATGGTGCTTGATATCAGTAACTTATCCTCCAAGATTTGTTATGTGTACTTTAATACTCTTTTGAAGATACCAATAAGAAATTGCATAATTGAGGAACTGTGTAAAAATACTTTTTTTCTTACTGGGGTGTCAAACGTGCAATGTCACGTCACGTGTCGTGATGTATTGTGACTTTTTTTTGCATTGCCGGCAATCGGGTGGTCGCGGTTTCACCATGACGCATCCGGCCCATGGGCCGGCAGTTTGACACCCCAAAGGCAGCAATATGAAAAAAAAAATCTCATATCTTCCAGGACAATGAGAGCTACTTAAAATTCTTTGTCAAAGACACAAATGATAGACTTGGACTTGATAGAATTTAATGTTAACAGATGATTAATTTACTACTATGAAATACAACTTAGTTGCATTTATTCATGCTCTAATAACATATCTTGACTATTTCAGTGTGTTACAGTAGATAATTAGAGAGCATCTGAAAACTTCAATTGCTACAAACTGGCTTTCTAACTGGAGCAGAATACAATGATCAAGTCACTCCAATATTTACACTTTGGTACTGGTTGACAGTTATTTACCAGATTTGATTGAATGTATTGGTTGTAATTTTTAAAGTATTTGCTGCCCTTAGGAACATACTACTTGCCAGCTCCTTTTAGAAAGGGTGTCCAGTTACACCTTTAATATAGGTTGTCCTCAACTAAGCAAGAAAATTGCTAAGCAAGAAAATTGTTAAGTGAATGTTTCCCATTTTACAACCTTTCTTGTACAGGTGTTAACTAGGTTAAGTTAGTAATGCAATTGTTAAAGTAAATCTGGCTTCCCCATTGATTTTATTTGTCAGAAGATTGTAAAAGGTGATCATATAACTCTGCAACCATCATAAATATATGCCAGTTGCCAAGCATCTAAATTTTGATCATGTGACCATGGGAATGCAGCAGTGGTTGTCAGTATAAAAAAATGGTCATAAGACATTTTTTTCAGTGCTATTGTAACTTTGAATGGTCATTAAACAAATGGTTGTAGGTTGAGGACTACCTTTACATATTTTCATATATCTTGTATTGGTTTTTCATGGCCCCATGTTTTTAATTACTAGATTGTAGTTGTGGATTTATATTAACTTTTTGATACACCACATTAGCAATTTGAAGGAAGTAGTATTGAATTTAGGTCTCATTGATTTCCAGTCTCAGTACCAGGTTTTTTGATGAGTGCCTTACTCAGATTGTGGTCAGGGGCATTGGAATGTTTCAGGCATACACTTACTCATATACTTCAGTGCAACTTGTCTGAGAGTTAACTTACATGTTTCACAGGATGCTGCCACTGCCTCATACATTATTCTTAGCACATGTGTTTTTCCTTCAATGTATGTATTTCTTATCAAGTCTGTGGAGAGCTGATGGGCTACCTATCTAAAAGAAGCAGTAATGTTAAAACAGCTTTCTAAGCAAACAGTTTATAAGATCTCTAATACTAGAGCAGGGGTGTCAAACTGCCGGCACGTGGGCCGGATGTGTCACATGGAAGCTGCGCCCACCCCAGCTCTGGCAAGGGGAGAAAAGTCACGATATGTTGCGACACGTCATGTGACATGGCGAGTTTGATACCCCTGTACTAGAGGAAACAAACTGATAATTTCTGAGGAAATAGTATTTTGTTATTCTGGTGAAATGGAAATAAAGGGTTAACTGCTATTCATTAGGCAGGCAGGCAGAATGCTAAGGGAACTCGAGTACAGTTGACTATTTGATATAATAAAAAGGGGGAAAAGGAGATAACCATTATAATTTATAAATAAGCAGAGAGAGGTTTTGTTTGTAAAGCTCTTAAAACTATATATTCTGAATTTCTTTCATACAAGGTTATTGTTAAATGAATTTTTAATTATTCATAATCATATGGCCCTCTGGCAAAATGAAAGGCAGAATATAATTCAGTTCTCCCCTTAAAAATAAGATACTGTGTTATCAGGAAGCAAAGTGATAAAGAGAGGAAGTAAATTTAGTCTAGAACATCTTTATGTTTGTCATTTTGGGATGCTGGCACTGAGATTTTCAAGTATATTCTTAAAATAAACTTACATGAAGAGACCTGATTCATAAAATTACCAAGAGTCGGACAAGACTAAATGGGCATCTTCCGCAACTGTATAAATTCTTTTCTATGATATCAGGAGCAAACTTTAAACATAACCCAAATATCTCCTTGATTATGCAAATGTTATTAAAATGGGTAACACCATGATCATCATCATTTGTGTACTTAAGAGCTTGCTGAAGAAAAGAGTTCTGAGCTGTGAAGTTTCTTTGCTTATTTATTAAACTTGTTACTTATTGCAAGCAACTCTGTCTGGCTTACAGCATCTTCCACAACTGTTTAAATTCTTTTCTATGATATCAGGAGCAAACTTTAAACATAACCCAAATATCTCCTTGATTATGCAAATGTTATTAAAATGGATAAAAATGATATCTAATATTTATATTAGAAAGGTTAGTGAATACTGGCCCCTTGTTTAAACTATGAGCTATCACCATAAGAAATGGTAGAAGATTTTAAAAATCTGAATTATAGAAAGTAGTTCTTGGAAAA